TCTCACCCTGGCATTACTGCCACGAATCAAAAACACTGGAAATAACAAATGTTGAGAGGCTGCGGGGAGATCGGAACTCTTATGCACTGCTGGTGGGAATGCAAAATGATACAACCACTCTGGAAAATGACATGGCTCTTCCTTAGAAAGGTAGAAATAGAAATACCATACGATCCAGCCATCCCACTCCTAGGAATATATCCTAGTGAAATAAGAGCCATCACTCGAATAGACGTATGCACATCCATGTTCAAGGCAGCATTGTTCACAATAGCAAAGAGATGGAAACAACTAGATGCCCATCAACAGATGATTGGTACATACACACAATGGAGTACTACGCAACGATAAAGAACAATGATGAATCTGTGAAGCATCTCATAACATGGATGAATCTGGATGGCATTATGGTGAGTGAAATAAGTCAATCACAAAAGGACAAATATTGTATGAGATCTCTATTGTAAAAGCTCATGAAAAAGTTTACACACAGAAAGTAACAATCTTCGTTGGTTACGAGGGATGGGAGGAGTTGTGGGGGGGAATACTAAATAGACAATAGATAAGTGGTATCCTTGGTGAAGGTTGAGACAGTACACAATACTGGGGGAACTAGCACAACTTGTACAAGGCAAGGTCATGGAGGCTCTATAGACATTCAAACTCCCTGAGGGACTGAATTGCTGGGCGGAGAGGAAGGCTGTGGAGACCATGGTCTCGGGGAACATCTAGCTCAACTGGCATAACGCAGTTCATAAAGAAAATGTTCTACATTCCAACTTGTTGAGTAGTGTCTGGGGTCTTAAAAGCCTGTGAGCAGCCATCTAAAATACTGCACTGGTCTCACCCGTTCAGGAGCAAGGGAGAATGAAGAGAACAGGATACAAGGAAAAGATTAGTCCAAAGGACTAATGGACTACAACTACCATGGCGTCCACTGGATTGAGTCCAGTACAACTAGACGGTGCCCGGCTACCACCACTAACTGCTCTGACCGGGGGGATCACAACAGAGAGTTCTGGACAGAGCTGGAGAAGGATGTAGAACAAAATTCTAACACACACAAAAAAGACTAGATTTACTGGCCTGAAAGAGACTGTAGAAACCCCGAGAGTATGGCCCCCGGACACCCTTTTAGCTCAGTGGTGAAGTCACTTCCGAGGTTCACCGTTCAGCCAGGGATTGGACAGCCCCATAAAACAAAACGGGACTAATGAGGCACAGCAGTCCAGGGACAAGGACTAGAAGGCAGAGGGGAACAGGAAAGCTGGTGATAGGGAACCCAAGGTTGAGTAAGGACAGTGTTGACATGTAGTGGGGTTGTTAACCATTGTCATAGGGCGACATGTGTACTAACTGTTTAATGAGAAACTATTTTGTTCTGTAAACCTTCATCTAAAGTGAGAATAGCAGCGCAACTGGAAGAATGTAATTGATGTCACTGAGTTGTGCATGTATAAATGTTTGAAATGGTGTATCTTTGGGTATGTATATTTTCACCAAAAAAAAAAAAGGTCGAGAAGGGAGAGGGTTGACATGTCGTGGGGTTGTTAACCAATGTTATAAAACAATATGTGTACTGACTGTTTAATGAGAAACTGTTTGTTCTGTAAACCTTCACCTAAAGTACAAAAAAAAAAAAATTCAGTCCTCACAATTGCAAGCTAATTTACAATAAGAAAACGCTTTATAATTTCATCTTGACTCTCAAATTTTGGAGGCATGCAAGCCAGATTACCACTCAACATTTATTGAGTGTTAACTGTGTATTAGACACAGAGGATCCCTGTGACAGAAGAAGAAACAGGCTTGGAGCGTTTAAAGGATAGTTTCACTTTAATTCACACAGCAGGTAGTGACGAAGCTGGGACGACAGCTCAGGCCTCTGCCCCTAAGTCCAAGATCCAGTAGACGTGTCTTAGAGCAGCTTCTAGAGTATCAAGAACTAAGGAGCCTGGTAGCCCAAACGGTTAAGCACTCGAAAGAGTAAAGGCTCCAACCCACCTGGTGGCTCTGCTGGAGAAAGAACTGGTGATCTGCTTCTGTAAAGATTACAGCCTAGGAAATGCTATGGAGCAATTTTACTCTGTAACACATGGGGTCCCCATGAGCTGTAATCGACTCAGCAGCACCTAACAACAAGAAGGTTGGCCAGTGATATTCACAAAGAGTCAGAGCCAGTGGCAGCCATGTAGCTGGTTTGTCGAGTCCTCTTCTTTAGCCCTTCCCAGCACCTTCTCTGCACTCTGGGTCTAGAGTTGTCACAAGCTCGATGTCAGTCCTGTGGACTGTTCTTGCTTTGAGATGAGGAGAAGGAAACCAACTTGAGTTGTGCACTGATCACATGCCACAGGCTCTATGCAAGTTATTTTAATGAATCCTTTGTGGGGTAAAAAGTATTACAGTATTATTCCCATTTTACAGTAAGGAAACTAGTAAAGTGAGATAGAGCAATAACTAACAAGTGGCAGAGTCACAATTTAAACTAAGATCGGTTACTCCAACCAAAAAAAAAAAAAAAACCCATTGCCGCTGAGTCAATTCTGACTCATAAAGACCAAAGCTCCCCATTTATCTTCCTCTTTGTCTTCTCAGAATTAGTATTGGAATCTCCTGGGTCAGGCAGTACAAACATTTCAAGATTTCTTCCAGTAGTATACTGGGAGGGAATACATACCAAAAAAAAAAAAAAAAAATCCCACCACCAACAAAAAACGAAACCCAAACCCTTTGCCATAGAGTCAATTTCAACTCATGGTGACCCCATGTGTTATGGAGTAGAACTACTCCCTAGGATTTTCTTGGTTGTGGTCTTTATGGAAGCAGGCACCACTGGGTAGGTTCAAACCACCAGCCCTTAGGTTTGCAGATGATTGCAAACTGCTTGCACCACCCAGGGAGGTATATGCCTGCCATGAACTGAGGAGAAATCTAGTGATCTCCATGAGCTCTTTTTCTGTCAGTGGATGGAGGCTAGGGGATCTCTTCTTTGCTTAGCTCTTTTTCACTGTCTTCAGGCCTCAGCTCAGAAAAGTGTTGTATTAGGGCAGCTCTCCTTGGGTTTGCTGTGCTAGCTGCTCCTGGTGTAATGTTGAGATTGTCATTTACCCTCACACTGCATTCAAAACTTCCATTTAAATATCACAATCCTGTGCTAATCCTGCATTTTTTAAGGCCAGAGAATATTTTGGTGTCCTTAGTACCTATCATGTGGTTGGTGATCCATCATTGCTGAGTTCTATACAGGGATTCTGAGACAATCCCAGGCTCGTATCCTGCCACGATTTACAAGCTGCTCCAGATTCACCCCAATGGCTCACCCAAGCAGTCACTTCAGTTAAACAACCCCAACTCCAACAGGGGTATTGAATCTCCACACCCTTCAGAGATGACTTATTCTGACTGCTATTTGGGCATCTCTTAGGCAAAACCTAAGTGAAATAAAGCCAATATGTTTGTAGGGTTGTGTAGAGAAATGGACCCTTCTATTTGTTAGGACTGTTTGTATCCTGCCAGGTGGCTCTGAGGGTTATGTTCTAGCCCTGTCTACACACTGCTATCTTTCAGGTAAATTCTGTACAGAAATTCAGTTATTCTTTCTGTAAGTTCCTCATCTTCTCAGCCTCCTTTGACTTATGTTTTTCTGTCTTCCTTATTGACAATGAGCTCCTTGAGGGCAAAGGCTGTTGCTTATTCATTCTCATGTCCATGGAGACCACGGACCATGCAAGACCATGGAGGCCTGGGAATATAGCCCCTTGTTATGGATTGAATTGTGTCTCCAAAAAAATATGTGATGTAAATCCTAACTCCTATACCTGTGGTTTGGAGCCCTGGTGGCGCAATGGTTAAGCGTTTGGCTGCTAACCAAAAGGTCGGCAGTTTGAATCTACCAGCTGCTCCTTGGAAACACTATGGGGCAGTTCTAATCTGTCTTATAGGGTTGCTATGAGTCGGCATTGACTGGACAGTAACAAGTTTTTTGTTTTTTTTTTAATACCTGTGGTTTTAATCCCATTTGTGAATGGGTTTTGTTTGTTATGTTAATTAGGCAGTGTCTTTGTTATCTAGTGCTGCTAGAACAGAAATACCACAAGTGGATGGTTTCAATGAAGAGAAGTTTATTTCCTCATAATCAAAATAGGCTAAAAGTCAAATTCAAGGTGTCAGCTCCAGGGGAAGGCTTTCTCTCTCTCGGCCTTCTCATCAGTGTTCCCCTAGACTAGGAGCTTCGTGATGCAGGGACCCGGGTCCAAAGGACATGCTCTGCTCCTGGCACTGCTTTCTTGAAGGTATGAGGTGCCCCTGTCTCACTGCTCACTTCTGTCTCTTATATCTCAGGAGATTGCCTCAGGACACAATCCGGTCTTGTAGATCAGGTCCTGCCTTACTAACACAACTGCCACCCATCCTCCCTCATTAACATCATAGAGGAAGGTTTACAACATACAGGAAAATCACACAGTACCAGGAATCATGGCCTAGCCAAATTGATACACACATTTTTGGGGGGACATAATTCAAACCATGACAGGCAGTATTACTGTAGGGTGTGTTTTAAGTCAATCTCTTTTGAGATATAAAAGGAGTAGATTGATCAAGCAACCAAGCAAGCAAGCATCGATAGGGGAAGACAGATGCCACTCTACATGAGATCTAAGGAACCAAGAAACAAAGCTGAAAAGAGACAAGGGCCTTTCTCCAGAGCCGACAGAGAGAGAAAGCCTTCTTCTAGAGCTAGCACCCTGAATTTGGACTTCTAGCCTCCTAAACTGTGAAAAAATAAATTTCTGTTTGTTAAAGCCACCACTTGTGGCATTTCTGTTATAGCAGCACTAGATAACTATGACACCCCTGCTCCATCAATGCTTACAAACACTAATGGGTTGAACACACAACCATCTTCTCTCCATTTCACCATCCAGGATACTTCTCACAGTGCCAAGGAGGGATCCTTGTTCCTGAGTCAAGACAGCTCAAGCATGAGTCAGATTTCTTACCTCAGCATCAGACCAACTCCTCAGTTTCTGAAAGTACCCAAAGCAATTGGACCTGTGGTAAAAACATCCAGTAGCAGAACTTGGTCTCATGATGATGTCTGCACAAAGACAAAAGGCACTTAGAGGTTATGACAGCAAAAGCAAACAGTAGAGGACAAAAAGCTGTAACTCAGGGCTGCATAAGAGTGGAAGAGGAGCATAAATTGGTAGTGTTAGGCCTTACAAAGAGGGAGAGGTCCTTTTGGCTGGGAGGTAAACAAGACAGGTTAGATGCTAACTCGGCTGGAACTTGAATTGTAAGGGAAACGGAACACTTTAGGCAAAGGGGCTGGGCTGGGCAGAGAATCGTGGCAGGAATGCACAGCTGTGCACAGAAACGGCAAGTTAAGTTTGCTTAACTTAGGTACAGGTATCTGTCACGCAACCATAGTAGAAAGGAATAGGAGAGAGTCAAGGCCTAGGCGCAAAGCAAGCTGTGTTCAGCAAGGCACAGCCTCCTCCTGCTAGTCAGTTGGTGAATGAGCCACATGACTGCATCTGAGGGTTTATGACTGGAAATGCAGAGGGGGCCAGATTGCAAAGGATGACAAGCTAGCAAGTTTGGATTTTGTGACGTAATAGCTGCACTATAGATTTAAGACAGAAGTCCTCAGGCTGTGGAAAATTCCACTGCCTCAAACAGCTTGCTTGGCACACCCTGTAGCTTTACATTAACATCTTGGTTCCCTCTCCTTAACTGCTGCCCAAAACTAGAGGAAATTAGCAGAAACCAGTTTAGGCGTCATGTTGACATTCAGGATAATCTTTTAGACCTCATACCTAGTAACTTCCCCACCTCTCGGTGGAGCTTAACTGCCATTTGCTGAACACACAATGCATGAAGTTATATGTAAACCCCATTGCGCCTGCATAGTATGATTAAGAATGTTGCTGATGTAACTTGTATGAACTTCCTACTTGTAAACACCTTGAAAGTAACCTTCCCCCTCCTTCTTGCTGAGCAGTCTTGGCCACAACAGCCCCAACCCTTGCTTTCCTTTTGCAACTAAATAGAGGCGCCTTTTTACTCTCCCACCTCAGTCTCTTGTTTATTGGCTGAGATGAATCGTGCTGAGCAGAACCTGGGGTTTCCACCCAGCAACAGACATGTGTAGGGGACTTTCTTCCCACAGTAGGTGTCCACAAACTATTGTTTTCACTAATAGTCTTTCCCCTCTCCTCACTCATAGATCACAATTGTCATCTCCTCTGCCCCACTCCCGTTCTATCTCATCCCTTGTCTGTACATCTCCAGGGACTCCCCATTGTTTTGGGGTAAGCTCCCCACTCAGTCTCTCATTTAAGGGCTTTCACAGTCTGGTTCTATCCCCCTATCCAACCACATCTCCCTTGGTCACAGGCCTGGTCAGTTATCTGCTCACAGTCCTGGAACACTGTGCTCATTTTGACTGAGTTTCTTTGCTTGTGCTATTCTTTGCACCTATGAATGATGGACAATGACTAACCCAGCTAAAGCATAGCACAAAAAAGTTTCAAGGGTACCTCAAAAATACTAGGAAAAAGCAGCAAAGATACACATGTATTTAAATGCCTCACCATCTACTAATTTAGAAATATGAACATAGTTTTATGTTAAGTAAAAAGAAAGCCTTTATGCCACTATCGCTACTACTGCTTCATTTATAAAGTGACTTTTGGTGATAGGCTTTATGTTAAGCAGTTTATACATACTATATTTTTATCCTAATAACTTAGGGAAAAGTGGAAATAGGCCAAGGTAGTCACCTGCCCAAGGTCTCACAGTAAGATGGAAAAGCTAGTTTTCAAATCTAATTCTATGCCTTCAAAATCCATATATCTGCCACTAAACCTCCCAACCTTAGATATAATAAATAGGGAAAAATAAGAAATTTCTAATTCAACAACAAAATAATTTGAGGGTTGGTATGCCTCGTCTCTCTTCCATCTCTCTCTCTCTCTCTCTCTCCTTTCTGTGTCTCTCTCTGTGTTTCTGTCTCTTTGTGTATCTCTCTGTTCAGCTCTTTCTCCCTATGCATTTCTGTGTCTTTATCTGATTCTATGTCTCTCTCTTGCTGTCTCTCTACTCTCTCGTGGCTCTTTCTCTGTCTCTTTCTGTTCGTCTCTGTACCTTTCTGTGTCTCTCTATGTCTGTGGCTATCTGTCTCTCTGCCTCTCATTCTTTTCTTCTCTTGCCTGCCCCCTCCTATTCTCCACATCTCTCCCACTCTTCCCCCTCCTCTCATCCTTAAGTGTTGCAGTTATGGCCATGTGCCCCCTGGTGGAGACACGTTAACTCCTGGAAATACAACTAACTGCTGCTCTGCTGAGGCTGCTTTTCTGGATTCTAAGACTATTAAGCATTTGCTATGTACCAGGCAATTTACATAGATTCTACTCATCCCCATAACAACCTGTGAATTAGGTACTGTCATTACCCCCATGTTCCAGATGAGGAAACAAAGGCAGAGAGGCTGTCGTTCCCAGGGTCCCACAGCTAATAAGTGGTAGAGACAGGGTTTGACCCCAGACAGTCTGACTTCAAATAGGTGCTCCTAGTCATCATAGGCATTATACTCAGATTATTTATTTTAAAGCCCATATGGGCCAAGAACACTCATTCAGGTGACCTTGTTTAATTACTAGAACTTCCTTGAGAAGTAGGGATGGAGATTCCCATTGTACAGAGAAGGAAACCTCCTTGGAGAGGTGAAGTGACCTGTTGAGGTCACCCAGGTGCTGAGTTAGGCAGGAGCTGGGAGAGGAGCCTGAAAACCCTGGCCCCTCCTCTCACAGTACAGAGCTTCTCATCTCCTCATCTCCGTTCATACAGCGTCAAGAGGTTCCAGCTCCTAGCATCTTGCCTGGACTACTCTAATAGTCTTTTTACTCTACGTTATTAGATGTGTGAGCTTGGGGGCATTATTTAACCTCTTAACTTTAGTTTTCTTGTCTGTACAACAGGACTAACAATACATACCTCCTTATAAAGTTGTTGGGAGAATTAATTGAGATAATGTATATACAGTGATTATCTCAGAGCCTAAACCAAAAACCAAACCCGTTGTCATTGAGTGGATTCTGATTCATAGTGGCCCTATAGGACAGAGTAAAACTGCCCTATAGGGTTTCCAAGGAGCAGTTAGTGGATTTCAACTGCTGACCGTTTGGTTAGCAGCTGAGCTCTTAACCACTGTGCCACCAGGGCTCCATTAAAGAGCCTAGTATGTACTAATTGCTCAATAAATAATTGAAAGGAGTTCTTGGGTAGAGCAAAAGGTTAAGTGCTTGACTACTAGCCAAAAGGCTGGTGGTTCGAACCAACTCAAAGGCACCTCGGAAGACAGGCCTGGCGATCTGTTTCTGAAAACCCTATGGAACAGTTCTACCCTGCACATGTGGGTTTGCCATGAGTCAAAATCGACTCGATGGCAACTAAAAACAATAGCTATTTAAAATAATCATTATTATCATTATAACCAGTGTAATGTTTTTAAAATATTACATAAATCATATTGCTCTATGTGTCTCCATCCACGGAATGCATGGCCTGCATTACTTGAAGTGAAGGGGAGCTACAGGCCAGGACAAAGAAATCATCGTTGCGGCAATAATAGTAATAACTGTGACCACCTGATTTTATTGAGAGAGAAAATTAATCTCTAAATTTTCCATACATGTCCCTTATCAAGTGTAAGATTAGACTTTTCCTGTGAGCCAAAGCACAAAGAACATATAAGATATGACATAAGAGAAGTTCCCACATGATAGTAGGAATAAGTATAGTCTTTCCATACCTGGGGGTGGGGAAGATTTTGGAAAGGGCAACAAAGGACAAGTGCTGAGTGTTCTAGCTCTACCTCCTCCAGGAGAGAGAGACCAGAGCAGTTTGGTGAAATTCCAGAATGGGGGTCTTGTTTCTCACTCCTCAGGATATAAAAACAAACAAACAAACAAAAAATCCAGTTGCTGTTGAGTCGATTCCAATTCATGGCAACCCCACATGTGTCAGAGTAGAACTGTGCTCCATAGGGTTGTCAATGGCTGATTTTTCAGAAGTAGATTGCCAGGCCTTTCTTTTGAGGTGCCACTGGGTGGACTCGAGCCTCCAACTTTTCAGTTAGCAGCCAAACGTGTTAACCGTTTGCACCACCCAAGGACCTTCAGAATATAGCTTGGGAAAATTTCAAGCCTCCTTAGGGAAGCCTGTGAGTCGGAATCGACTCGATGGCAATGTGTTTAGTTTGGTTTTGGTAGGGAAGCCTGAGGCTAGCACAGTACTAGAGTAGCAGGGGCCACCTGCTGGTTAGAAATGGCCATGGAAGGTGGCTCAGCAGGAAGGGCTCAAGGGCAGCCTCCCAGACTCTTACAATCTCCTGCCTGGTTCCGAGATCGTGGCTGAGTTCCTCAGGTCCCAAGTGGCCCTAGATGGTTGAGAGACCTGGTGGCTGGACATAGGCATGGTGTTGAGGACAGAGAGTCACAGAGTACAAGATCATGCCAAGGGCAGGCTATGGCAAGGACCACAGACTTCAGCTGCAGGGGCCCGTATGATGCTCAAAGAACCCTGCCTCTCTTTGTATTTCCTTCCAATCAATCCTCCTCTAGGCCAAGGATCTTTCTCTGGTAGGAGAAATGCTCAGTTATATTCAGCACTAGTCCGCTTTCAGGAAGCTCACTTCTCAACAGAAGTTCTGCTCAAAAATCATTTATTCACTCATTTTCCACTTGCAACACCCAAGAACGCCACACCGGACTGTGAAAGGCATCCAGGACTAAGAGCCAGAAGATCACGTAAGCTTGCTTTGTGACCTTGGGCAAATCCCTACCCATCTCTGAACCTCATTTTCCTATAAATAGGACAAAGGAGTCACACCAGATGACCCCACATTTCCTTCCATTTTAAATGTTCTATGATACTTATTCTCAGCTCACTTGTGCAGTTTTCTTCCTCTGCTTTCTGCATTGGTAGAGTCTAGGTTATTGCTTCCCACTTTGTTGACATGCAACTTTGTACTTGATGCTGGGTCTTTAAGTGTGTAAGAGCCATCTCTGCAACTGGAATGTAAGTCCCTTGCAA